AAAATGATAACAAATACATTGCAAGAAAAAAAATGAGATGAGAGAGATTAGTAAGTATATTAAAGCACATTGGTATATTAAAGCTCTGATTGATTACATTGACAGCTTGATTGTAATTAAGGCATTAAGGCTTAGGCTTCTCTTAGCAGTCTAGTCAAGTCTCAAGTCATCTCTATCGTCCACTCAGGGGTTCATATACCCTTGTTCTGTATATATTATATATAAGAGTGTTATATTATGTTGTGTTACTCTATATATTAATGTATTCACTGGTTGGTGGTTTCAATTTTCACAAGGCAAGCAACTGGTTATGTGAGCACGTGGTCCTCCAGCACGTGGTCCTCCAGCACGTGGTCCTCCAGCACGTTGTCCTCCAGCACGTGGTCCTCCAGCACGTGGTCCTCCAGCACGTGGTCCTCCAGCACGTGGTCCTCCAGCACGTTGTCCTCCATCACGTGGTCCTCCAGCACGTGGTCCTCCAGCACGTGGTCCTCCATCACGTGGTCCTCCAGCATGTGGTCCTCCAGGGCGTGAAGACAGTGTTCCGAGGAGAGAGAGGAGGCGGGTGACATATATTAAGATTCAAGTGTAGGTGCTTCTCTCTCCACGGGCCCTGTTCTGAATATGGCTCAAGACACATACTTGGCGGTATTTGACCGGGAAGCTTGGATACTTTGGGACTTGTGTGAGATACCACGGTATGTACTCACCTAGTTGTGCTTACGTGGGTTGAGCCTCGGTTCTTTGGTCCCGGATTTCAACAGTCAATCAACTGGTGTACAGATTCTTGACCCTACAGGGCTCTATCATATTTACATTTGAAAATGTATATGGAGTCAGCCTCCACCACATCACTGCCTAATGCATTCCATTTGTTAACTACTCTGACATTGAACAAATTCTTTGTAATGTGTCTATCTCTCATTTGATTACTAAGTTTCCACCTGTGTCCCCTTGTTCGTGTTCCACCCGTGCTAAACAGTCATTGTCCACCTTGTGAATTCCTCTGAGAATTTGGTAGGGGGCTATCATGTCTTCCCTTACTCTTCTGTCTTCCAGGGACGTGAGGTTTAGTTCCAGTAGCCTTTCCTCGTAACTCATATCTTTCAGTTCTGAGACTTGACTGGTGACATACCTCTGAATTAGCTTGGATTCGGTAGCAACAATTGCTAGTATACACTGATATCTGAGATACGTCCGTACCTTTTGTCGAGGGGACAAGAACATTCACGGAGGCCAGATTTTTTGGGCCTCAAACATTTCACCGTAAATTGATGTTAAGTGGTCGGGGTTCGCGACCTCACGGCACACGCTAGGGAAAGAATCATTGCGTCAGCTCTATTGCCTTTTTACGGAATCTCTTGAGGTCTTCTGGGAGTCATTGACTGTATGCCATAGCGGGGCTGATTGACACACAAATATGGCGTGTGGCCGCTTCTGTCCTAGTTGTCTGTTGACTGGTCGCACCTGGCCAAAAGTTAAACAGGAAAACATCGTTTCGCTCAGCCGGGAAGCGCTCGACGTCACGTACCCAGAGTTTGCTAATGGAGACTAATATATCAGCCTTATATTTTATATTCTCACCTGATTTTTTGTCAGAGTTTATTTGTTTTTTGTATTGAGGCAGACATTTTCTCCTCTGATTCCATGTATGCCTAACCATCCTGTGAGATGGGAGTAATAGGTGAACCTATAGCTGGTTCTTGATCTACACTGTGTAATATCTCATATAGAATAGGATAGCAGCACATTGCTATGTATACTGTGCTGTGTAAATAAATAAATATGTTTATTTTGCTAATAAAATAAAACGTATTTTCAGAATTTCTGCAAATAAGTTCTGAAAGGTAAAATGTGTGTTTATTCAACCTCGTGAACCTTCCATGAATCAGCTAATAAATTTTTAGTTAGGTAAGGTAGCCTTTTATTCGATTTTTTCCTGAGCTATTTTAATCCATTCTAAATTGAATAAGCACTGTGTTATGCTCAGTCATTGCAGTATCTGTCAAATTTGCTTTTGTTTATCTTTGACCAGGAAAGTCTCCATGAATTTCCACCCAATTGTAACATAAAACCGTCCCTATATAGGTCCATTCTTTCCATATATAAACCTAACACCCAGTATAAGGAATGTTAACAAGCGGAAGTAATGGGACTGCAGTGTGTATCTACCCCGGGGTCCGCCGCCCCGCCCTCACTTGTTTAACTCGCATTTTGGCGCCAATATTGTATTCCGCGGAACTATCCTTCACCACCTACCCTACCCTTCACCTACCCTTCACCACCTACCCTACCCTTCACCTACCCTTCACCACCTACCCTACATTGCACTACCTTCCCCCTTCTTCACCACCTTCTCCTTCCTTCACAACCTTCCATACTCTTTACAACCTCTCTGATCTTTCCTTATTGGGGGTGCAGTTGGCTCAGTTGGATAGACCCGTGGGCTGCTACTTTTGTGGTCCGCGGTTCAAGGCTCCGATGGTCCAAATGAATGAAATATTATTCACGATATGGTGGTCAACAGTTTATATGACTCGAACGTGGATCACTTAAAACGTCATACCAAAGTGGAGCCCCAGGGAAGGCCTAAAGTCCCAGTTGGACGGCTCATAATGAACAAACAATGCATTGGACTCGTCCTCTCCTTACACTGAACCTGTCCATTTATTCTCTGGTCAAGATGTTTACCTGTTTGCTAATATATATAATATAAATTGTCACATAATTCCCCTGCATAGCATTGGAAAGCTGCCTCCTCCTCCTCCTACCTCCAAAGCCTACAAGACACCTCTACATCAGGCACCCCAGACAGACATCTGGATACCCTCTATCAGGCTCACCCTACCAAGCCCTGTGACCTCCAGCTGGTGCCTGTTAGCGGCCACTAATTGCTCGTTATTTCGCTGGCTTCTAGTTGACGGTCGCGTTACTACAAGACGTGACGTCACCAGTGGGAGTACATATATAGCCCAGCTGGTGGTATAAGTACAAGGGAGACATCTCCCGTCACGCAGGGTGCAGTCGCACCTCCACAGATCTCCAGTATCAGCTCTTGATACTGGTAATGGCTCAAAAGGGCCACCACTTACGGGCTATTCATGCCCGTGCCACCTCTTGGGTGGCTTAATCTTTATCAATCAATCAATCAATCAATAAGAAACCAGACTACTCCTGGTGCTCTTGGGTTCTACACTTCACCTCCTTCACTCGCTGTGGTGCTGTTATGACGCGTGATGGTGGTCGTGGGGACTAGTGTAAATATTAGTTTAGTCACCCTGTTTTTCAAGTAAAGTATTCAATTAATTTCTTGTGTTTTTTATAACTATTGTTTCAGGAATTATATTGAAGTTATAGTAAAGTGTTTAATTGTTTAATCCTGCATTTTGCAAAGTGCATTTTTCAGTTGCCAGGTATTAGTTGCGCTACCGAAACACACACACACACTCTCACACACACACGCTCTCTCTCTCTCTCTCTCTCTCTCTCACAATAGATATAAATAATAATGTGTTACATGTGTGTGTGAGTAGTGAGGAGAGAGCCGAGGTGTGTGGGATGTCGGGTCTGGTGACATAAATACAAGATATGACCCCCTCTAGTATGGTCTTCAGTTCTTGCCTCGTGTTGACGATTCTTGTGCTCTTGACGCACCAAGAATAATCTGCGTTCAATGTATGCAATAATGATACATTATGTACATGTATGCATTATTATTATTATTATATATATATATATATATATATATATATATATATATATATATATATATATACGCAATGAGTTCATGAGATAAAGTTACAAGGGCTGTAAGCTAAATACAGTATTGTATAGCTAATGTTACAGTGGTATGAAGTATAACACAGTGTATATGTACTTTACAGGGTGTCAAACGTGATATAATTGACTAAGTCTTCTGGGTATTATTATCCTAGTCGGATATATCTTGAGTATTTGTGATAGCATTTGTATCTAGATTTTCGTCTTATTGTTCACATGAAACTGCATAATGATGTAGGATTTGAAAGTACTTTTGGTGGCAGAGTTTTTGACTACAGTTTGTCAGTTCAAGTTTGCGAGCCAATTCACGAAAGCACTTACGCAAGCACTTGCGAACGTGTACATCTTTCAATCTTTAACGGCTTTGGTTACATTTATTAAACAGTTTACAAGCATGAAAACTTCCCATTCAACTGTTGTTATTGTTATAAACAGCCTCCTGGTGCTTCGGAGCTCATTAACTGTTTAATAATTGGGAACAAAGTCGCCAAAGATTGAGAAAAGATGTACAGGTTCGTAAGTGCTTTCGTGAATCTTGCCCCTGCAGAGCTATAGAAGGTTCAAGTTGAAGACGGCAGGTGGTTGAGGACCAAGCACGAGTGTGGGCGTGCGACGCAGCCACTCAGCTTGAACCAGTTACAGCCATTCAGTATTTTCTTCACGTTTATTTATATATAAATGCTTGCATTACCTTACTAGATGTGGTTTTCATGCCACAGGATTAAGAATAAGGCGAGTATTCCGAGCGGAGAGCGAGTTAAGCAGATGGACGTAGGTGTTGAGTATGTGGGCATGTGTAGGGCAGGCGGTCCTCGTCCGAACAGGTGCGTGCAGGTTATACTCGCCTCTATATCCACCTCGTCTCGCTGACATCATCTCTGTGTAGTCACAAAAATGCTCCTCCAGTATCTGCACCATGTCGTGGGTTTGTGAGGGCAGTTGAAAATGTTTAAAAATTTCCATGCAAAAAAGCAGTTTATAAACGGCAGGTCAATCGGATGTTTTTGATACCTGGGCAGGTGGGTCGTGTGGGCTGCTGCACCATACAAAAAAACAGTCATTCGAAATTGTATGCTAGTATCCCGGGTGCTCAGATATGGCCAATACAAATGAAGGTAAAGGTAAAGGTGCACTGTGATTGGCTCAGCTGGCAGCCCTGGGCGCCCGGCCTTGACAGGACGGGTGCACCCGCATGTCGCCGGCCCGCACCCGCTCAGTTGTGAGGGAGATGTGAGCCGGGGAGGGCGTGTGAGGCTCGCTGCAACATGCCTAAACACTGAAATAAACGGGAGAATACAACACTAGTGCTTCGGGAGCATTTATCCGTCATTAACCATCGTTGAATTGAAATACCAGTTTGTGATACCTTACTGAAGTTCACCGAAGCCTCGATTTTGTTGATGTAGTAGGTGAGGGAAGGTGGTTAAGAGGTGTTAGACGGGACGATATAACCTCCCGCTGCCGACATACCCACTCAAGATATACTTCAACCCACTAAGCAACTGGTACGTATCATCACCTTCACTTATTACTGACACGTGTACACCAAGTGGAGCCTTGGGGCACATTGGCCGCCCAGGCTCGTAGAGCAGCTCTGTGTTTGGTGGTAAACATTGTTTAGGTAGAGAGTTTGGTAGTTTACCCCGTGGACAGTAGCAGTGGTATACTGGGTGTTGGGTACTGCAGACGGTGGTATACTGGGTGTTGGGTACTCCAGACGGTGGTATACTGGTTGTTGGGTACTCCAGACGGTGGTATACTGGTTGTTGGGTACTCCAGACGGTGGTATACTGGGTGTTGGGTACTCCAGACGGTGGTATACTGGGTGTTGTGTACTCCAGACGGTGGTATACTGGGTGTAGGGTACTCCAGACGGTGGTATACTGGGTGTAGGGTACTCCAGACGGTGGTATACTGGGTGTAGGGTACTCCAGACGGTGGTATACTGGGTGTAGGGTACTCCAGACGGTGGTATACTGGGTGTAGGGTACTCCAGACGGTGGTATACTGGGTGTAGGGTACTCCAGACGGTGGTATACTGGGTGTAGGGTACTCCAGACGGTGGTATACTGGGTGTAGGGTACTCCAGACGGTGGTATACTGGGTGTAGGGTACTCCAGACGGTGGTATACTGGGTGTAGGGTACTCCAGACGGTGGTATACTGGGTGTAGGGTACTCCAGACGGTGGTATACTGGGTGTAGGGTACTCCAGACGGTGGTATACTGGGTGTAGGGTACTCCAGACGGTGGTATACTGGGTGTAGGGTACTCCAGACGGTGGTATACTGGGTGTAGGGTACTCCAGACGGTGGTATACTGGGTGTAGGGTACTCCAGACGGTGGTATACTGGGTGTAGGGTGCACGTCTAAACGATGGTGTATGTGAGTACTCCACAGAACGGTACCCCCCCCCCTGCCTTCAGGGACCTCTTAAGGCGTGTAAATAACAACCTAAGAACAGGTAGGAACTCTGGCAACATAAGTTTAATATTAACAGATGTGAAGGAACACATTATCTGCCTGTATAATTTACATGTATCAAAATGATTTTAAAGTAATGTATAAAGGAAATGGTTTTAACTTAGATTATTTTTTTTAATTAAGATTAACTCAAGTGTACAGGATTAGGAATTGAAGTTTGTAATTTTTGTTGTTTAAATTTGTGTAATATAAATTCAGAAAGGTGATTCTGCTTTATAAAATATTTAGGATGGGATTTATTGTACTTGTATAAACAAATGTGTACCCTGCACATTAGTGGTCCACTATGCATACACTGTGGCCACTTGTGATTCTTGTGTACCTAGCTCACACCCAGGTGTACTTAGGTGAGTACACACCCGGCTTTACTCTGCTCTCCTAGCTAGCCTAGCCCGTCCTTCTAAGGTTTCTCAACGTCCAGAAACTGGCGTACTTAAGTTGTTATTATTAACATATTTATTGAGAAAAAATAATTACAATTTTGCCTAATCTGAGGAATTCAATTAGGTCTTATTAGAGTGAGGATAATGCTGGCAAGTGCCCTTATCCTAACCTTCCAGAGGACCCAAAACAGAAAACGGGACTATGTCAATTCCGCGAGCCGCTACCATTTTCTACTACGACGATTTTTAGGTGCCCCTGTTACCTAGCAGTAAAATAGGTACCTGGGTGTTAGTCAGCTGTCACGGGCTGCTTCCTGGGGGTGGAGGCCTGGTCGAGGACCGGGCCGCGGGGACACTAAAAAGCCCCGAAATCATCTCAAGATAACCTCAAGATAGAGTATACGTCAAAATGTGACGTTCTATTAGGAGGACGGGTTACCCCAACACACGTACACACCCCTATCACTAGTCTCCTAGCCAACACTCCCACCCCCACAGACCCCGCTCAACCACCGTGCTCCACTAGCCTACACCACTCCCACCCCCACACACCCCGCTCAACCACCGTGCTCCACTAGCCTACACCACTCCCACCCCCACACACCCCGCTCAACCACCGTGCTCCACTAGCCTACACCACTCCCACCCCCACACACCCCGCTCAACCACCGTGCTCCACTAGCCTACACCACTCCCACCCCCACACACCCCGCTCAACCACCGTGCTCCACTAGCCTACACCACTCCCACCCCCACACACCCCGCTCAACCACCGTGCTCCACTAGCCTGCACCACTCCCACCCCCACACACCCCGCTCAACCACCGTGCTCCACTAGCCTACACCACTCCCACCCCCACACACCCCGCTCAACCACCGTGCTCCACTAGCCTACACCACTCCCACCCCCACACACCCCGCTCAACCACCGTGCTCCACTAGCCTACACCACTCCCACCGCATGTAATAATGGAAGTTGTGTGGTATTTTCTTTTAGCTGAAGCCGATCTTAAGTTTATGTTTACTTAAGAAAACCTAAGTGAACATACTACTGTTCCATACAGTTTCACGGTATACGCATTAAATAATCTTTTTATCATTTACAAAGACAACTACCAATGAAGAATGTCAAGGACTGATGTTTGCAACATTGGGATCTCTGGCAAGCTGCCACCAAGTGTCCTGACTGTAAAGGGAACATTGCTTGTATGATTATAATTGTTTTAAGTATTGTTATACTGATATCTAAGTCTTCATAATGTAAACATTTATACACTGGTTGTATATAACGCTCAGAAAACATACTCAATGTTATTTTTTTTCGTATGCCTGGTAGGCTGTGTTTAATCAGTTCTTCAGCAGTCTAAGCGTTAAAGAATTTTTAGCGTGTACGGCCAATCGTGGACCAGTTAGCCTACATGTGAGGTTCATTCTGTGGGTGTAGCCGTGCAGGGAAAGACAGGAGCAACCTCCCACCTTACTCGGTAAGTCTCTTGAGATTCTTGTCTAGGTCTATGATTATATTCATGTTCTTCTTAGTGAGTATTGAACAAAAGTCCTATATAACATCCGTTAATGTTGAGCCGCAATCAAGACCAGTAACATTCCACTAACCACATCCAACTTCCTTCCATAAATACTATCCCCTAACACCCCCCACCACACACACACACACACACACGCGCGCATAGCATTCCCTCAAGTGTTCAACCTCCTGCATTCCTCCACCTGCACCACTCCCACCATTCCTCCACCTGCACCACTCCCACCATTCCACCACCTACACCACTCCCACCATTCTACCACCTGCACCCCCCCCCCCCAACATACCCACCTGCACACACCCCCCAACATACCCACCTGCACACCCCCCAACATACCCACCTGCACCACCCACTACCATGGGGCCGCTACCATCGACAGTTTCCCGGAAGGAAGTTGGTAATACAGTTAAAATTATACCCTTATTTTCAGTCAAATTTTCTCATTATAGCCATTAGTGCTAGAGCTTAAATGTCTGTCTCGTGAGGTCTCTTGAGGTAATGTCTGGCTGACTTGCTCTCAGTCTGGGTATTAGTGATGCAGAGGACTGTGTGTGTTATGAAAGCTAGCAGTTAAGAGTTGGTTCCTGGTGTGTGGGGGAGAATATTGGAGTGTAAGTGTGTACTTTCACTAGGAGTGTAGGTACAGGGGCAACCTGTGCTCTCTGGTAATATGTTGTATTATGAGGAGAAAGTTTTATGAGTATACATGACTATACAACACTTGGAGTGTGAGGAGGGAGGGCGGGCGCGGGGACCCGTCACTGGGACTATCAGGGATGCAAGAGAAACGGCTCGGGCCCACCATAGCCTGTGATACTTGGAACTTTTTGTTCCAACAACAATCCTAAACAACAAGAAGAGAAACCGTCGCTTGACTGACCAACAATACTCCAAGTGGTGGACTGTGAAGGAGAGGTCTAGCAGCTTACGGGCTCACCATAGCCCGTGCTACATGGACACTTCGTTCTGAGTAGCTAAATCTGAAACAGCAGCAGCTCATTGTCTGCCCCGCCGGCTACCATATGGGGTGCATCATGTATGAACTACGCTAATTAACTATACTACTTGCGTCTAGGAGGTATTTGGATGGGGTGGGCGGGGGACGGTGTATTAAGATGTGTAGCGGTGACTGGTGTGTGGGAGTGACTGGTCGCTGTATATGGGTCAGTGTTTTAAGATGTGTAAACAAAAGGGTGTGTAGGGTGTGTTGGGGTACTCACCTAGTTATACTTGCGGGGGGTTGAACTCTGGCTCTTTGGTCCCGCCTCTCAACTGTCAATCAACTGGTGTACAGATTCCTGAGCCTACTGGGCTCTATCATATCTACATTTCAAACTGTGTATGGAGTCAACCTCCACCACATCACTGCCTAATGCATTCCATTTGTCTACTACTCTAGGAAGGGGTGAATGTATAGGAGTGACTGATGAGGGATTCATGGGGTGGGGGTGATAGTATGAGGATGTCTACCTACATCCCCATCCTACCTAACAGTAACTGGAGGGATGTGTGATATAGTGCTTAATGACCATTTTGGGGTGACAGAAGATGTAGGGGCGACTGTACTCACCTAGTTGTGCTTGCGGGGGTTGAGCTTTGGCTCTTTGGTCTGGTGTGTGTGTTTCCCTGGTGCAAGGTGTCAGTCGGGTCAAGTGAAGGTTTACCATTTGTGTTTACTTCTGTAATGATCCTGGTTAAAGGTATGGTCATCCAAACAAGTGGTCTTTCTCTCTGTGTGTGTCTCTCAGGCGCATTTGGGCCATACTTGCTTTCTCCGCCATTAATCTTATACTTGTAAAGACTCTGGCCGGAGTTTTTTGTGTTGTGTGCAGGGAAGATGGCGCCATGAGCACCCTGGGTCTTTGTTCTCATCCTCCACCTCCTCCACCTTCTCTTCCTCTTCGCCACCTTACTTTAATCCACCTTCTGATCATCCACGTCTTCCTCTTTCACTTTCACCTTTTTTCTTCTCCACATCCTCCTCGCCTTCCTACTCCGTGTCCTCTTACTCCTTGTCTTCGTTGTCCTCGTCGTCTTTCTTGTCCTCGTCCTCCACCACCCCTATCATCACCCCTCGCCATAACTTTAAGGCCAGACTCGACAAAGCTGGAACGCCAGGGAAAGTTATTTAACAAGGCAACAGGTACAAGAGTGGTGGCAGGCGGGGGACATACAGAGCTAGACCACACTCTCCCCCCCCCCCCCTCCTCCCCCTGTAGTCACTGTGGGTCAAAATCCACATTTGTAGTTGAGATAAGCAATTTAGACGACTGTGGGCGTTGTGGGTGACACGGCTCAATATATCAAACTGGTTAAGGATCTTGAAGTGTGTCCCGTTAAACCCAATATTTTTATGACTGTAAATTGGCCGTAATTTGTGTTTGTGTGTCGTTGTCATTGTGGGGTTATTTATCACGGTGGGTTGGGCAGTGTTACGAGATGTGTTTGTTTAGAGTGGGCGCCTTCTATGGGAGGTGAGTGCTGTGGTGTCGAGAGAAGTGTGTGTGTGGTGGAGGGCGTGAGGGATGAGGCTCTCCAACAGGTTTTCATCTAAAAATATGCATTGTGTCATGGCAAACTTTAATATAAATTGATGGAGTGTGGGTGGTGGTGCTAGTGGCGGTGGTAGTGGCGGTGGTAGTGGTGGTGGTGTTGGTGCCAGTGGTGGTGCTAGTGGTGGTGCCAGTGGTGGTGCCGGTGGTGAGAGTTAGTGGTGGTGGTGGTGGTAAAGGTTGGATTGGGACATTTCAAAGGAGTCAAATTCTAATGTGAAAACATTGTAAATGGAGTGTCACCTGGGTTATATAATAAAAGCTGGGTTAATAATATATAGGCTATAAAGATCAACAATATACAATTTATCGAAGATATACAAGTAGAAGGAAGAGGGGGGGGAGGGGGGGGGATGAATTAAAAAATCAAGCATGAATTAAAATTGAATTAAAAAATTTTGTTCACGCGAGGCAGCTGTGTTTTACATGTCTAACCTACGCTTAAAACAATCAAGCGGTCCCACTTATCTCGGGAATCTGTACACCAGTTCACTGACAGTTGAGGGACCAAAGAGCCAAAGCTCAACCTCCGCAAGGACCGTTAGGTGAGTACAATTAGGTGAATACTTGATTGTAATAAGAACATAAGAACAAAGGTAACTGCAGAAGGCCTATTGGCCCATACGAGGCAGCTCCTATCTATAACCTACCAATCCCACTCATATACATGTCCAACCCACGCTTGAAACAATCGAGGGACCCCACCACGTTAATGGTCCCATTTGTAATGCCGTGGTGGGAGATGATGGTTGGCACTGTTAATATGAGTGATGACGGGTGTTGTGGTAGTGATGATATTAATGGGGTTTTCGTAAGGAAAAAAGGGCCCCTACCATTGGAAGAGATAATGGGTGTCTGTAACAGAATAGCAGGTAGTCTGCTCTTTCTTATCACAGCTCGTTGTAAAGCCTTAGGCCTAGCCTCGTATTCCTACAGTGGTATACGACCCACCAGACCTTGTGCTTCCAGACCTTGTCACTGCCGGGTAGGCCTAAATAAAATCGGTCCCGGAGATCCAGTTACCTCCAGGGTTCTAATCCACAACCTTTGGCTTGCCAGGCAACTGTGCCGCCTAGTACACTACACGAGTTATTAGTACATTTCTAGTTTCAATAGATATATATATATATATATCTCGGTGGATGGGAAGGAAAAGGATGGGTAAATGATATAGGTCAGTTGTGAGGAATGGAAGGGGAGGGGGAAGGGAGTAATATATAGTACATAGAGAAAGAGAGAGAGAGCGAGAGAGTATTAATGAAATTACTGGTAGCCTATCAAGTCTCGACTACTCATATTTATAAATTTCTATAATTTTTGTAAAACTTCAGTATTTAATGAAAAAGGTAATATATACCACTGAATAATAATACACTGCAAGCCGTGACTGCAATTAACACCTTGCCGGAATCGCTGTGTATTAGTGGCTTTAGGTATTGTATGTTCTAGCTCTTATCTATAAATCTAACATTGTAACTCGTCTTCTATGTATCTACTTTTACCTGAATAAACATTTTGAATTTTCGAACTTGAATTAAGGCCTTTGCGTTGGCCTGTCATAGCCTGTGAAAATAGGCGTCTAAAATGGGGCACAAATTTTCAAGAAATAGATGGCCGAAGGCTTGGTTCCGTGTGTAAGTCTGTTCCTATCGGACTGAGCTGTTGTTGTTGTTGTTGTTGTTTAAGATTCGTTACCTGGAACAAAAAGTTGCAAGTAGCACGGGCTATGGTGAGCCCGTAGTGGGCAGACTGAGCGTTGGTTGTTTACTGCTTCACTTCCCACACGACCTCCTTATTACCACAAATGTATATATATGTTCCCACACTTATACTTCACACGCTTATACTTTACGTGCTGTTTTGTGTTACTGTAAAGTGTTGATTCGCCCAGTGTTTAGTGTCGAGCAGCACGACATACCTTTTAATCTGGTAAGGTGGTCAACCTCCTATTTTCAGTGAGAATTAGGCCTACTCCAGCCTGCAGCAGCCGGCGCCCTATGCTAAATGTAACCTTGTGTACTCGTCTAGTTGTGCTTACGGGGGTTAAGCTTCGGCTCTCTGGTCCCGCCTCTCAACTGTTAACCGGTGTAAAGATTCCTGGACCAATTAGGCTCTATCCTATCTACATTTGGAACTATATCGAGTCCGCCTCCACCACATTACTTCCTAATACATTCCAATATGAGGTGATGGGGGTATACATAGACCTTTATAGTTTTTATAAATAGGCCTATACCGTATATCATTGTAATACCCCGGAAAGGGATATTTCTCGTGTCAGTGGTCTCGAAAACTCATAAAGCCGGAATAGTAAGATACATAAATGGTGAATCGAAAGTAATGATTCGTTATGGCAACGATAAACAAGTAGAAATTAAACGATGATTT